AATAAGAGCATTAGCGATAGAAATAATAATAATAATAATAATAATAATAATAATAATAATAATAATAATGATAATAAATCAAGCAGAAATAACAGTAAATAACAGCAAGGCCAAGACTTGGTATTATTGCTATCACTTTACTTAATGCCATATTGCTTCGTATGCTGTCATTACTGTTATTTCTTCTGTTACTTCCCTGTTAACTCACATGTGGTCTGTTAAGTTTCCGAATGTTGCAGGTACGTGTGATGCACCTGTAAGTGAATAAAAGCAGTGGCAGTAATAACAATTATTAATAATATTGGTGATAAAAATAATAACAGTAGTTGCACTTATTGTAAAATTTAGAATTTTTATGCCATTTTGAATATTTTCCCCGTTGAAAAATGAAAAGAACGATAAGGTAAGAGGAAAATTATGATGATTTGGCGCCTTATGAATTATGAAAATTATGATGAAGAGGAAAATTATGAATTAGCTTTTAAATGATCAACATAACTGATTTAAAAACTGTAATGCTAACAGGAAAGTATATTAACAAGGGATGAAATTAGAAGAATAATCAAAAAGGAAGGTAGGAAATAAGAATTTGAAAATTAATCTCGCATTTCTCGACGACCCGTAACTGGATGCTTCCTATATCTACCTTTGACTTTTGGCTGCATTATGATAACAGCGAGGAATCTCCCCACTGGCAACCTAATTAAGCTAATATTGGTAGCTTTTCGGGCACTGAACATTCGTTCTTTGCAGACACAAAACATGTTGGGCTATGCGGACCGTGAGTACGCTGTTTGGCGGCGGTTCAGCGATTTTCTTGGTCTTCACGAGAAACTAATGGAGAAGTACTTTCACAAGGGGTATTTGGTGCCGGCAGCTCCCGAGAAAAGCATTGCGGCGTTAACAAAAACAAAAATGAATTCTGCTAGCGACGATAATACGAACAAGTTTGGACTTATTCTTGCAGTACTGCCGAATCACTTTTTATACTATGATTGTAGTACGTGCAACTGGTTTCAGTGAGTTCGTTGAGCGTCGAGCACGAAGTCTTCAGAGGTTCTGCAGGCGTATTTCACGGCACCCGAAGTTTGTTTCGGACTGTGATTTCCGTGACTTCCTGACAATGAGCGCATCACTGCCGCGGGCAAATTCCACGGCGGCACTAAGTGGTGCTGGAGTGAAAAGAATGCTGAAAACCGTTAACGACGTGTTCTCGAAGATGGCATTTCACATGGACGAGAATGATCGCTGGTTCGAAGCAGCTCAGCAACAGGCTGGTTCTTGTCGGTAATTTTACTGCAGCGGAAATCTTCCCTTCCTGTGACGCTTTGCACTCACTTATGTGCCGTTGTAAAAGCTGTGCATACTAATATCAAGACTGCCCGGGCAGTTTGTTTGGCTGATAATGGTATTGCTGGGATGCTGTTTTACGTTGGGTGCTCTGGGCTGTTTTTGCGCACTGAACATTCTTTAAGATGCCGCATTTATAGAGTTGGTCGATCTTCACCATCCTCGTCCAGTCGATTTTCCTGACTTGTTGTCACTCTTCGTTTTCCTGCGATTTTTGCATCTGTGCAACGCTCAAATGCATGTTATCGAGGAGTTGTCTGTGTGTGTGTTTGTGTTTATCTATGCCGATTTTTCATCTCGAGGTTTACAAAACTACAAGCTGAAATTTTGAAAACTTGATCTACATACATGTAAGGGCTCTCATTTTCAAAATGGGTGCTCCTACCCACGTGGTTCCTGTGTGCGGGCCTTTGAAAGATTTTTGCGGATAAGTTGCTAACTCGGGAACCAGAAAACCTAAAAAGCTGTAATTTTAAGGGGATGTTCCCCATCCACGTAGAACTTAATGAGTGCAAACCCAACCAACAGGAATGC